AAAAAAAAATTTAACCCTCTAAGTACTGTTTTCTCTCTCTGGTTGACTGAGAATCTCAAGTTTCATTGGACTTCAGAATTTTTTTTCTTTCTTTTTTTAATGATATTAAGACCCTTAGAAAGGCTTTTGGAATGATCTGTCTACCTGATGTGTGATTAACTTGGACAGAGGAGAAATATACTTAGTTTATTGAAGCTAAGGAATAATTGCTGAGGGATGTCATTAGCTGTCATCATTTTATATAGTCACTTTTTCTCCTAATACTTTAACATTCCTTTCAGCTTCTGATCAAGAATTTGAAAAATGAGATCACCAAAAAGGTACAGGTGCCCAACTGTGATGAGATCTTCTATGCTGGCACAGGCAATCTTCTACTTCGAGATGCAGATTCCATCACACTCTTTGATGTACAGCAGAAACGGTAACATGATAGGTGCCTGTAAAAAAACAAGCATATAGTGGGGGAGAGTGGACAACTTTAGTGGGATCTTTTCTCTCCCAAGGAAAAAAGAGGGATACCAAAGTTAATGGCACAGTTCTTGTGCTTAAAGGGGTTTACAATCCAGTGATGAAATATGTAAATATCCCTAATAATATGAGAAAATGAGAGGCAAGGGCTTGAAAAGAGGAGAAGTATAATGCAAGCCAAATTTTTAAGTTACAGAGCTACTATGCAGAAAAAGTTTATTTGTCATTACATTGAGAAATTGGGGTTTATGTGTGAGGATAAAAGGACCTAGATCTTAGGCTGGGGTTGTAACTCAGTGGTGGAGAGTTTGCCTCTCACGTGTGAGACACTAGGTTTGATCCCTAGCACCACATAAAAATAAATAAACAAAGGTATTTTATCCATCTATAACTAAAAAAAAAAAAAAAAAAAAATTTAACAAAAAGGACATAGGTTTTAACCCTAGACCCAGGAGTCAGATCTATACATGTTTGACCTTCTCTCTCATTTCAGGACTCTGGCATCTGTGAAAATTTCTAAGGTGAAATATGTTATCTGGTCAGCAGACATGTCTCATGTAGCACTACTGGCCAAACATGGTAAGTTTTCACTTATCCACCCTGATTTAGAGCCCACTCCCTCCCTCCCCCATCCCTGCCAGTCTGCTGCACTCATTCTGTCCAACAGAGCACTCATGCCCTTTGCCTCTTACAGCCATTGTGATCTGTAACCGCAAACTGGATGCTCTATGTAACATTCATGAGAATATTCGTGTCAAGAGTGGGGCCTGGGATGAAAGTGGGGTGTTTATCTATACCACAAGCAACCACATCAAATATGCTGTCACCACTGGGTAAGTTAATTATCTGGAATACAGAGCAGGAGAAAGTAGCTTCTTAAAACTCCCTGTCCTATCTCAAGATGTCACTGAAGTCCTCTATGAGCTTCCTTCATGGAAAAGCCTTGTCTGGCACATACGTACTAGAGACATCAGTATATTCTTTTTTCTATCTCTTTTAAAATTGTGAGGCCAGGACTGGGTGCTTCATATGTATACCAGAGTAGAATTGCTGCACCATAGAGTATACATACCTTCTCATTTACTAGGTATATGACGCTTTTATTTTTGTGCATATGATAGATGCACAAAATAAGAGTATCTCATTTTTATGAGTTCAGAGCACCTGCCTACCACATATGAGGCACTCAGTTTGATCCTCAGCATCACATAAAAATAAAGGTATTGTGTCCACCTACAACTAAAAATTATTTTAAAAAGAAAGAGGATTAAATTTTTTTTTTTTAAATCGTGATACCAGAAAATCATGACATATACCTGCAATCCCAACTACTTGGGAGGCTAAGGCAGGAGGATCAAGAGTTCGAGGCCAGCTTGGGCAACTTAATGAGACCCTGTCTCAGAAAAACAAGATTTAAAAAAACAAAAAGGTAGAAATAAAATTGTGGGGCTGGAGTTGTGGCTCAGTGGTATAGAGTTGTGGCTCAGTGGTAGAGCACTTGCCTGGCATGTGTGAGGCCTTGGGTTTGATCCTCAGCACCACATACAAATAAATAAACAAAAATTTTTTTTTT